ATGGATGGATGGATGGATGGATGGATGGATGGATGGATGGATGGATGGACGGGTTTATTATTTTTGTTAAACCGCAAGTTGAACACTCGTTGTCATGGCAAGCCAATGCTGACCTGTGAAACCTGCTGCGGCAGCGACAAGTTAGTCCAGCTGTTGGAGAAAAGCTCCAGGAAATATTTTGACTCATTTGAGATATAAAAACTATCAGCTGGCACATGTTAAAGAAATGTAAATCTAAYTAGCTAGAATTTATTTATCACAGCTGTAAACAAAGTGATGCTTCTACTGTAAATTTATTATATACATTTGGCATTAAGGGTTAGCAAAAACACAACAAACCATGAAGAATGTGGAGAAGAGTTGTTGAACGCAGAATCAAGGAGACAGCAGTTAAATATACAATTCAATTGATCAAAACAGAGTCACACACATGAAATGTTCCAACTTCATCAGCATTATATGGTGGATAATAAATCCTCAGTCAGTGTGCAGCAGCAGTAAAAGATGAAACTAATGAGATTGAGCGATGCTGGAGAAATATTCCAACATGTCCTGGATGGTGAACTCCATAGTAATTCCAGATCCAGGATAACATCGGCCTATCAGACCTTCAAAGTGCTTGTACTGCCGGATAAACTCRTCCTGCATGGAGTGCCACACCACCTGGTGGAGCACAACAAAAACACAACGGTTTGTTGTCAGCATGAGAAATGTGGCCGAGTAGTTTCATCTCATACAAAGTTTACATTTCACACCTGGAGCAAACTTTCTTCCTCACACAGATGTTTGTCCACCTTCTTGTAAAGGTTGTCCAGCCCCTTCTTCACCTCTTTGCCAGGATACTCTTTAATAACTTTGCGCAGCTCTTGTTTGTTGAAGGCGAGCTGGTAGCTCACCTCCTCCTCACGCACGCCCTGAGCTACACGTGCCTCAACGCCCTCGAAGAAATGCTGCAAGACAGTCACTGCACATGAAAACACTGCTAACTCTGGACCTTACGCATTTAAACRCTGCTGCCAGCTTTAAAGGGATCCCTGATTAGTTGTAACATTAGACTTTATTTGATAAACATATATTTTAACTGTAAAATAAAGACTGTAAAAATACTGTAGGCTGTTTAGTTT